CGCGGGGACCGGCACCGCCAGCAAACCCCACGGCGGCTGCAGTGCCTTTGGCTCAATTAATGCCAGGACTAGTACTGAAATAGCAAAGGAGCTGGAGGAACAGTTTTACACCCTGGTTCCTTTCGGTAGGAATGAGCTCCTGTCTCCTCTGAAAGACAGTGATGAGGTAAAGTCGCTGTGGGTCAACATTGACTTAGCTCTTTTGTCCAGGATTCCAGAGCGTTTGCCCGAAGAACCGCTGGCCATGAGCGCCGAAGCAAACCAGGCGGCCAGCCTCCCGCAGGGTAGTAGTGCTGAACCCCCCGCAGAGAAGGGTTTACCGAAATCTAGAAGGAAACGCAAGGTGAGCTTCTGGGGGACCGATTAGAAGGGGTAGGGGAGCCTCCAGCAAGTGGGAGGCAGGCATCACTTGTGCCCACATCCAGTGCTCGATGGCAGTGTCTTCTCCAGGACAGCATTTCAGAGCTGGGATTTGTCCCTGCTCTCCACGTAGGGACTGGCCAAACCCCAGGGGAGTTGCCACCCCAGGAGGTGATGAAACTGCTGATCACGAGGGATCACAGCCCCTTGGAGACAGAATTCACTGCTGGCACATGCCTTTGCGTGCTTAGCGAAAGCACTGCATTTTTAGTAGGATAGTTTTCTCTCATGAGGCTTCTCTCAAAAAACTGAGCATTTGGAAGTGATGCTCAGGTCAGCAAAGGGACAGCTATCTACTGTCTTGTCATGGTCTGCGTGGCATCACTGCGTGTGCAGTAAAAGAAGAGGCAGCATCTTTTTTCCCCTTAGACTGTCAGCAAGAGGCAAACCCTTCAGCCCCAGCAGGGAGCCCTGGCTTTGGGGGAGTGCACTCATGGAAACCTGGTACCAGCCCGATTCTGGAACCTGCCTCCCTCACGCCCTGTTGGCCCATTTTTCCGTCAGGGCTCTGTAGAAGTGGGACCATAGTCCATTAGTTGCCCCCTCCCCAGCAGCACTGTCACAGCAGCCAGGTGGGCACAGCCCTCTGATCACATCCACCCCTCCACCCAATCTCTCCCACACACTTTCTGGTGCTAAGGAGAAAACCCCCTCCGCTTCATGGCCACAGCTGCCCACCAAGCAGGCTTTCTGGTCTGTTTGTACTGATCTGACCCCAAAAGTGACTCCAAACTGGAATCGCCATCTGCTCAATTTCCGGACAGTTTTGCTGTGCAGTCATCTGTTGCCCTCTGAGCTACTGTACATGTGCAGATGGATCTGTGTATTTTTGAGGACCATTTATCTAAATCAGTCTTCCCTATTGTTTAATCTTACTTCGTTTTTGGGTTGGTTTTTTTTTAGTATCTGAAAGGTAGCAGCCCTGTTTCAAGTGGCGAAGTGGTGGAAACAATTCAAGTTTTATACAGTTCTCATTTGTTTACACAGTGGCTCTTTAGATTTTATTTTCTTAAGACATGGCCCAATCATCTCTGATCCATGTTAGTATATACTCAAAGAAATTATCATTGTAACAAAATGACAGAAAACACCAGCCCCTGACTTGTTGAAATATTTTTGGATCTGTAGTAAATCCAAAACCTACAAAATTATTACTTTTCTCTTCAATCAGTGTGAGAATGAGGAAGAGTGCAGAGACATCAAGAAAACTCACTTAGAACAAGAGAGTTCTTCACGATTAGCTGCCTCTGCCCACAGCATCACAACAGCAAATCACTGCAATATGAATGAAAATAGGTAAGCCTTTCCCTTCTTATTTATCACTCAATCATACAAACTGTTGCAGTTTAATGCTGTGTGTTACTTTTTACTTAATTGGGCTTTATTTTTTAATTATTATATTTTATGTTGAAAAATTACCCACTACGGTCTCCATTCTTCTGGTTTAATGAACAAGTTAGTAGCTCCTGACATATTCATGTACTTGCATTTTTGTCCTGTTGCACAAAGAAGTTGTGAGCTCAAGTGTGAGACTCATGGAATGAGTAATTATAACTAGAGCAGTGTGATTGTCTGAGACATAGTCATAAACGCTGTATTGTAGGTACCAGTTCACATATACAACCATCTTATAGCCCTTACCTTATAGTGCTGCAAGTTTCAAGCTTAAAGTTTGACTGTATGCATAGAATTATGTATCAGCTCTGTGGAAAACCTTGAAAAAATATCCATAACAATGTGTGCAATACTCCTTTCCAGAATATATTTGAGACCCACTGTTTTTGAGATTACCAGCATTCCATTCTGTGTAATTAGTAAGTGCTCTAGGACAAGGAACTTAGACTTTTAAAAAGGTGAAATTTTAAAAGGATGTAGGGCATGAAAAAAAAGATGAATATTTAGCACTTGCTGGCATGGTTTATGCACACAGACCCCTGTCAATGTCAGAGCAATCACACTTGAGTTTCTCTGGAGGCTTCCAGAAGTCAAACTTAGACATGTGTCTTCTCAGAGTTCAGCTGCATGCTGCTTGGTAGATGCTGGTCATCAGTATTTTTTTTTAAATCGTTTTTCTGGTAGTATCAGGGTATCTCTTGGGCTGAAACTGCTATAAAATAAGAAAATATTTGTATTTTTTATAGTAGGCTTTTCTATTGTACATATCATTGATGAGCTTGAGCAACTCTTGTCATTAATACTGAAAAAAATCATGGCAAAAACTAATATAAATAGTGGTTATTCAAAAATATGCATTCAATTTCCTTGTCCTGACATGTCACATACATTTCATATAGTGAAAACAATACACAGAACAGTTTGCTTTATTGTGGGTGACAGTATGCAGACATGCCATTCCTCTTACCACAGTGTCACATTTTACATTGTATTCATTTTCAGAGAGTAGCATGGCTGTCATAGCTTGGCTGTCATAGCTTGCTGTGTCACAGGGTTAATTCTGTGCTTGCAGGAAGCAGGGCAATAATATGTGTTTTTCTTAACATTATAGTCAGTACTTCTGGTAGCAACAGTATATTAAAGAAACAAAGAATGTTTGAAATGTATGTTTGCCTCCTAATTGTTTCCTGATTTGTTCTGCTTCCAAGATGTTTCTGTGGTTTGTGCTAGTGTAGGACATGATATCAAATGCTAATATTCCCACAGCTGAGGAAGGGCTACCGAAGCTGTAGCTAAACGAGCAGTGCAGATATCAGGACCTCCTGGTACTCTTGCAACAGCAAGCTGTTCATGTTGTCACATCCCCTCTCCAGTTACACCACCAGAGATGCCTGTGAGGATCTCCTGTAAATACACTCAGGAAACTTGTTTAGAACCAGAACTCTCTTTTCCTTTTCTGTTTCCTTTTCCTTTTTCCTTTTCCTTTTTTATTTTCTCTTTTTTTCCTTTTCCTTTTTTCTTTTTCTTTATTTTTTCCTTTTTTCTTTTCCTTTATCTTTTATCTTATTTTCTTTGTCTTTTTTCCTTTTCCTTTTTTCTTTTTCTATCTCTTTTTCCTCTTTTTTTTTCCATTTTATTTTTCTTTTTTTCCTTCATTTTGTTTTTTGGTTTTTTTTTTTTTCCCAGTTATTATTATTCATCTCCCAGTACAGTCGCCCAGACAGTTTTGGCAGCACAGCTGAGGGCTGGTAGCAAAGGGAGGAGCAAAACCACCTACAGACATGAGCATTTTGTACTGTGGAACTAGAGTCTGAGGTGCAGACTAAGTAAGGTCCTGTTTGACAAGAAAGGCTGCAGGGTCAGGCAGAGATACCCCAAATATCTTGCACCTATATGAGATGCCACAGTCTGTCCATTTCCAGCAGATGACAGCTCTGAGACTGTCCTTTGCTGCAGGTTGCATGGCTTCTCAGTATAAGAAAATGTGCTGCTGCCCTTTGACTGCTCACAGTAAGTTCAGGTGGGCCCTACTCAATGTGCCAAAGGCCATGTGGAAGGGGAGCAGTTGAAACTACAAATTTCAGCTATTTCTCGCAAGCTCTGGGCCAAGCTTTTGAGGCTTGGGTACACTTCTAAAGAGCTGTGGCTTCTCTTGGATGCTTCAGGCCCACACTTTGACAGTGATGTGTAAACACGGTTAGCCAAGCCCTGGGTTTACGTTTGAAGAGAGGAAAAGAAATTACGGTATCAGCCTGCACATTCAACATAGCACTAAAGATCTTATTTTTCTTAGAGGGAGAAGAAGGGCACAGTTGTCTGTCTTACACACCCAGAGTTTTGCTTTTGTAAACAGTATCAGTCATTAAAGCAAAACAGTTGACACAGTGTTTTGAAGGTACTACGTGCTGTGAAACAGTAAAGGTTCTGAATTACAATTCATGGCTTCTTTTACAGCTAGTTTTTAAAGACTTGCCAGATAAATGGACAAATGTATGATAAGAGCACATTTAATTAGCTCTGTTCCCTGAAATTATGTGCAGAGATGAAGTATAGTTCTTACTGTATTCTTTTTTGCAATTCCATTAAGTGTATATTGTCTGATACAGTAACTATAAAGAAGTGAGAATTGTCCATAAAAAGTAATAGTCTGAATAAAGGGGAATGTGACAAGGAAAGGTATAGTGTTAAAATAGTCTCTCTGACCTTAATTGCAGTTTTAGTCTTAATGTCAACTGTCTCCTTAAAAAACTTCCAATTTTTGTGTGTTGCTTTAAGATTTTCAGCTAAATATTTTCTTCAAGTTAGTGCATCTGAAGTTTATTTCTGGGCATATTTTTATGGTCTGTCTGACTTCTCTTCATACAAAGCTTCTCTTGAACAAATGGAAGCTGAAAATACTGTCTGTGTTATAGCTTTCTGCTTTAGAAGACAGAGCAGCTCACATTTCTCTGCGTCTACTGTTTGCATATGCTTCCTTTTGTCTGCACTAACAGCCTATCTTTATCTTCAAAATCTGTATTAGATTAGTATAAACAGTGCTACCAAAGGCTGAGCAGTGAGCACAAAAACAAGCCAGTCATCTTTAAACATTTCCTGTTTTAGTTCACATATGGTTTTATTGCCATGGCTTATAAATTGTCACCTGTAACGGTGAAATAGGGCTCCATAACCTGAACTTACACTTCAGAGCCTAATCTTCGTCTCCAGCTATCCCTTAAGAAATGGTGAGCAAGTGGCCATTTATCTCTGTATTTTTTTTTCAAGTACTGTGATACGGACTTTATATTAACTCCAGAATTACAATTTGCCTTGAAGGGAAAGAGAAGAAACATGATACAAATTTGTAAATGAACTCTTGGTCCCTACACTGTACGCTTGTTTCCAGATACCAATAGACTTTATCCTGCCAGCAGGTTTTAAATTCAAAGTTTTGGTAATATATAAAACATTTACTTTTCTCAAAGCCAGCTTTGTGACACTCCATTACTGTAATTTCCATTTCCAGCTTGGCAATACCAATAAATAAAAATGAGAAAATGCTTCGGTCACCCGTCTCTCCCCTCTCTGATGCATCAAAACACAAATACTCCAACGATGATTTAACTTCCTCCAGCAGACCTAATGGCAGCAGTCTATTACCTTCCATCTCCTCCAGCAAAAAGCAAAAGGGTGAAATCCAGTCGCAGCCACATCCCGGAGACTTCAATGTAAGTGTATGCTGTTGTTCACAATATATAGCCTAGCAGTATATTTTTCACTTTGCATTGCAGTCTACAATAGTTTTGCAAAACATTATGCAAAAAAAAAAATTGTAATAATGAATGTTATTTTGTAAGTTCATCTTTTCTGGCTTGGAGCTTAGCAAGGCACAGAAGAAAGGAAAGAGGGCAGGCTGTAAAATGGGCAAATAACAAAGGCTACATAAGCAAAAAGTAAAAGCTAATGGCCCAAAACGAATAGCTGTCGGCCTCCAGAGCATTGCTTGGACATGATGCAAGGCCCTACATTCATGGTGCATAAGGCCCCTACTGTATAAGGGCTGCCACTGCCTTAACCATGAATGTGCCTGCAGACAAGTTCTCCTACCTGTCTTAGAAAAAACTTTCTCAGATCCTACTTACACCAGTGAACAGCTTAGCACCAGCCTCACAACTCAGCTCCATCAGAGCCCAGGTATTCATATCCTTATCAGAGAGTCTTGCTCACACTAAATGTGCCCAGAGCAGTGTTGCAGATAAGGGTGTATTACTACACTGCATGGTGGCCACTCCTTCAGAGCACAGAGAGGGAGGAGTAGATGGCTGCCCCCTTTTATGCATGAGTTCTGTGATTAGGATGCTGGAATAAAGAGCCTGTTAGCTCTTTTGATTCAGGGAATTCCCATCTCTCTCTCTCTCTCTCTCTCTCTCTCTCTCTCTCTCTCTCTCATCTCTCTCTTATTTCTCAAAATCATACCATACCCTCAGGCCTACAGGACACTGACGGTAGAAGATCAAGGGCATAATATTGTCACATCCTCCCCATGACACTGTTCTGCTTTATGTGAAATTCCTAGAAAAATCAATTTGGATACTATCATCTTGATGCCCACTGCTGAAACATCTAGTCAAGCTGTTAGGGCGCTCTTCTGCCCATGCTCCTCTCCTTGCTACAAAAGCTGTTCATATATTTTATCCTATATCTATTTGCAGTATTTGTTATTTGATATAAAAGAGGCTTCAAAAGCCTAAGTATTAGTGCCTGAGCAACTTTTAAGTAAACAGTCTACCTGAGTTGTAGCAGTGATCTCTTCCAGCCACTTTTGTTGTAGTGATAAATGGCCCCACAATATCTGTTAAGTATATATGCATATACTTAAATATATATTTTTTTTTTTAGAGTGGAGGAGGAAGTAGTAAATATGATATTAATTTTGAACACTTTTTCAAAAAAAAGTTATAAATTGTGTGTTTCAAGAATATCTCACAGATGCTTTTGGTAAATTAAAATAAACTAATACATAAAATATTCCAATAAAAAGGCCTTTAACATATAGTTATTAATTTATTTTTCATTCATTAAATGCAAAGGTTTAAACATTTTAACTTCTGAAATATAAATTTAGATGTTTATAACCCATTCAGAATTACAATGATATGATCCTTCACTTGGTATCTTGAAAATAATTTAAATTCCTTTACAGGCAAATGTGTTGGAAATCGAAAGTAAAGGGCGATTGCTTTATGATCCACACCCTTATCAAATGCATTTCACTGAGATTTTCTGCATAGCCTAGCAATGCACCATTTGGTCAACATTTAACTACCTTTGCAATAAAATTCTTATGTATCTGGTTATTCATCTGAGCCTGCTGAACTGATCTGGATGTGCCATATAGAAGATGAGAGCTCATGAACTATAAATGTTAAAGTTACCTTTGTTTTATCCCATCTTCTCATCTGGCACCTAACTGGCAGATCCTTCAAATTCCTGTCAAAGACTGCAAGCCAGGCTTGCCTACAATGGGCTTTTATCCATTTGAGCTTTTTTCCCATTTCCCCGGTGCCTTTTTGTCTGTCACCTGACAAAGAACAGTGATTTTTGGCAAAAAACAACCTGGGGCCCTCTGTTTTGCACTGTACCAGTGTGTAGTAGCCCAACATAGCGGGTCACTTGGTAGAACAAAGGGCTCAGGAGGCCACATCAAGGACAGGGCTGCAGCTGAGGGAATGCATGAGACCCTGCCAAAAGACATGTTCTTCCACTGCAGCACAGAGAAGTGGTCTTTCAAGGTGATCAGGAGCCCAGAGCACAAAGAAACCTGGACCTTGGGCTACAAATTCATACCACACAAGTACATCAGCAGGGCAGCATGAAACGAGTCGAACATGTAAGTTCTCGCTCTCCTGAGGCAAGGGACAATGCTAGTTTGGAAGCTGAAAGCTAGAGATATAACTTGATCTTCTAAATTACTACAACAGATCTATTCTTTAATAATTTCACTTACTGTGTTTCAGAGTGTTTTGATAGTTAGTAATAGTTCAGGTCAGTTTCTTCTCTTTATCATATTGAAATTCAAGCCCTTTACAAAGTGCTCTGACCAATATCTGTGAATTCGTGGCTGTTAGTGATAGGACACTAGTACATACTTCCTGCTCAAATAGTAGGAAAACTAACTTCTAATTTACAACACAGTGCAAAGACACTCTGGTTTTCTTGTTATTTGTAACTTTTTTAAGTTAGTAGCCAATTCCTCAATGTCTTACCTGCTGTTTGTTGTCTAGAAAGCAATTCACATCAATTCAGAAAATGTTCTTCTCTGCAATAAGCCACAGTCCCAAACACAGCCTTGGTCACCTCTGTCCAGCACACCCAGGGACTGCAGAAGGACAAAGCTTATCTTTGATGATATGTAAGTACAAATGGCTTTAAAATTAAAACAATATCATTTTTTGCATTTAAAAAGAGAAAAATACAATTTGTCCAACAGGAACTGAGACGTGGCCAAAATTCTAGTAAGACTTATTGTACACTGAGAAATGAATGAAACATACTATATAAACTCCTTAGTTTTTCATTATAAATTGAGCCTCTAACCATAGAATAGTAGAATTCATAGAATCACAGAGTCATAGAATGCTTTGGATTTGAAAGGACCTTAAAGACCGTTTAGTGCCAACCCCTTCACCACGAATAGAGGATGTCACCCAGTTTTGACCAGGTTTCTCAAAGCCCCATTCAACCTGGCCTTGAACAGTGCCAGGGATGGGGCATCTGCAGCTTCTCTGGGCAACCAGCTCTGGTACTTCGCCACCCTCACAGAAAAAATTTCTTCCTGACATCTAACCTAAACTTGCCCTTTTTCAGTTTAAAGTCATTCCCCCTTGTCCTTTAACTACAAGCTCTTGTCAAAAGTCCCTCATCATCAGGAGCACTGAGGACTGGGTGTTCCCAAAGGATAGGGCACCAAGAGCCAAGATGCAAAATGCAGCTGGCAGGGGTCCAAGTCCCACAACACCTAAGCCGGGTGAGCAGGGCAAGCCCAAAGGTGGAGTCAGGTTCAACCAAGCGCTAGGATCCTCAGGCACTTCCATGGTGATGAGTCAAGTCCAAGGTCAGGCCAGGAAGTCAGGTCAGAATCAGGTCCAACAGACACAGCCTGGGGACTGCCAGGCATGCATAGTGACAAGGCAGGTCCGAGGTCCAGTCAGGAAGGCAAACCCCAGGGCAGGGTCCAGGCCAATGGAGGACATGGCCAGGCACAAGCACTGCTGTAAAGGGGCATGCTTGCAGTGAATTGGACAGGGAGTGAAGGCCCAGACCTGAGCTTAAATGGATTTCATTAGCCCATGGACAGAGGGGGAGGCCCCACATGAGGTGGGTCAGGGCCATTAAGACTTTATCAGTATCCTTGTGGCACTGGTATTAATTATGCACACATCAGACTATTAATGTATCATAACTATAGCAAGGCAGGGTGAGAGGGGCACCTTCTTGTGCACCCTTTGGAGCAAGGAGAGAGGACATAAGGAACCTTGCATCTCTGAGCCTTGACAGCTGCTGCTACTTCTGCTCAGCTAGAGGTATCACAAGGGCAGGGTGAGTAGGAAGCAGCAGTGGTAAGCATGAGTACCTGGAGGGGTACTTGACCCTCCTCACCTCCATTGCATCCTTCACACATCCCTGGCTACTTCTCTGAAAATATTTTAAGCTTGTAATTGTCTTTCTTTTATTTTTGGTAAATTAAAATTGCCAATTTGTTTCCCAAGGTCATTTAGGACATAGTATTATTTAGATAAGGTAAAATGGGGAAACTGAAGGTTGAAATCCTAGTATCTAGAAAATCCACATTCTTTTTGACTGATAATGTTCTGGCCTGAAAATACTGATATTTTTTCTGGCTATTGTAGAAGAGGTTCTGTTCAAGGCATGCCTCAAACTGCCTGGAGCTCTAAGCTGCATGACCTTGACATAGTTTTCATACTCACAGACTTTCACCCACAACATCTCTAACTCCTTTATACCAAAAGAAATCTTGGGATAACAGCCTTGTTTTCTCAGGAACTGCTTTCTGCCAGAATTGTTTTTTTTTTAATATTGACAATTATTATTGTTGTTGTTGTTCAAACTGTAATGTTTGTTCACACTGTCTGGTCTCAAGGACAACTAGAGAGGCAGCAGCCTCTCATAAAGAGAAACCAGGTTTCCTACTATAAGGTACAAATAATTCCTGTGGACTTCAAAAGGATGTAACTGGCTTGCATGTCAAGAAAAGAAGGCTTAATTTCTGTGTATATTCATGGCAGTCATAAGCAGATGTAAATTGAATAAATGTAATCAGTTTTTCTGCCTCTTTTGGAAAAAACTCTCCCCTGTGTATATATATCCTTGTTATTCCTCTTACTCCACCTCCCTCCATGTTTTTAACTCTTCCAGTATGTTTATTTAACAGTGTTTAGAAGTACTACCTAACTCTTCATATCTCTTAAAATACTTTATCATCTGTAATTTACTTGCAACTGCTTAATTTTTCTGCAGTTTAAATATGTACATACAAGGCAGAAAGGTGTCAGAGTCAAAAGTCAATAGGATGTGCTCATCTCTTTGGATTAGAAAGAAACACAGTCAGAAACAGCTACAACAGAACTATTGTATCTTCATCTGCTTTTCCCTCAAGATGCTGACAAAAAACAGGGGGACTGATTTGTTTCACTTTCTCCCTAGGATACTGTCATAGGAGATCTGCTTTGGTCAGCATCTCTGTCATCTGAGAGGCTTTTATCACTTGCTTTCTCCATTAGTGATAGAAATGATTTCTCTGGCAGGCATCTCCAATAAAACTGTTTCAACTTTTCAGACAGATACAATTAAACATTGTTGTATAGTGCCTTCCATGTAAAATATCCCCAAGCAACTTGTAGACACTTAAAGATAAAAAAAAAAAGCCAAATAAGATAAAACACAGAATCAAATATATCTTAATTTGTCCTTAAAACCCAGAAACAGTTAAATGCCTGTTGTGCTAACTAGAGGAAGGACATTGTCAAGTACTACATCTGTCATCCACAACCTGTATCTGGCATATGCCATCAGAATACTAGCTGTACTAGATCTTGATTCTGAAATTACTGTGCAGAGAAGTCACTGAAATGTAGCACATTAGACTGGCTGTAAATGTTAAATGCCAACAAATTTGACTCACATATTAGAAGGATCAAATTAAACATGGCAGCCAGTGTCTTTCAAATTCATATAGTACCACAGCAGAGGAAATGCAGTACAGTAGGTCTAAATTATGTAGTAATCCTAATGGCAGCATTTGTCCAAAATGATGCCTATGAAGTATTTCATCTCATAATCCATGAAGTTCTGAATTACTGTAATCCAGCCATGGCTTTAAAGTCTTAATTTTAATCCGACTCTGAAGTTTTTAAGAGACTAAATCCCTTATATTTGATTTAAAACAACAACTATTTTTTTAACCAATCAGTGTGTCTTTCCTTTATTCTCAATTTATTTTCTCCAGATCATTGACAACAGCTGTCACTAGCAACAAATTGGAACACAAGTAGGTCAATAAAAAGTGTATCTTGCTTGGCAGAGTACTGTATACACATACACTGCAGTAGAACAGTAAATATAGCTAACAGTCTTCAAAAGACAGGCAAAATTCTACTTTACCTAGTTTGCCTTTTTTTACTGATAGATCTAGATATGCTTAGAGGTACCCAGCATGCCTTATATGTTAAGTGACATCTATGCTGTTTTCAGTGGTAATTCTTAACAAGATTTCCTGGATTTTTGGCCATTTTTGACCCCATGAAGAGAACATTTTCAAGGCTACATAGTAATGCTTCAAGCCAAATTGATTCCTGCTGTAATTTCACTGAATGATAGAATTCCCAATAACTGCATTTAGGAACTATGTCTGTTGTCCTTGAAGGGATAAGCACAGACATGCTGTGGGTGCCCAAGGGCACAGTCCCACACCTTCCTCAAAATACTGCATATATGGTATAAAAAAGAGCAGAGCATACCCAGCTTCACAGTTTTCCTTATGTCTAAATCAGAACATGCTCCTCAGGATTATTTTATTGCATTATGGGTATTCTTTCAAACTTGGAGTATGGATTTTCTTCACTTATATTTATTTTTCTTTTTTTCTGGCCTTAGAGGAGTGAGATAATACATCTTCTACAGCTTTTTTTTTTCAATTCATGTTTTGTTGAATGTCTGTTCCACCTTTATGGATTTCAGTGCTACACACATCCACCAGCTTTACATTGTCCAAGGGACATATCCTGTGGTGAGATAGAATTCCTATGTTTGTTTGTCAAACAGTCAACCATATACCCAGAAAATATTCATTCTGTAAAGGTGTTATGCATAGAGCTCATGAAGAGTTCAAAAAACAACTTCTTGGCACATCTCTTTGTTTTGGCTTGAAACCCCAAGTGTCTCATTTTCAAAAGTCTCCTCTTCCTTGTTCTTCCTCAGAGTGGAAAGGAGAAGGTGCTCTGTTGTATGGGTTCTGATTCCCATACAACATCTGGAAGTGATTTCACTTTGCATTGCTCAAAATGCCCCAGGGACTCCTGAAATATTTAGAGAAACTTTTCTAGTGCTGAACACATCCTGAGGAGCACAGTTAAGGAACAGAGCTTGGCTCCTCTTTCTTCTCATCAGCAATCTAAAAAATCACTGGTCAGATAGACCAATGTCTACTACACTAAATTCCTTAAAATTCATATACTTACTTTGGACTGCTCTGAGTTTCTTGGCTTTGAGGGATTTCAAGACTTCATCTGACTATTCCAGTCTCCCTCTTATTCTTACTTGTGGCACTGAATTTTCTCATGTGTACCCTGCCTATGATAAAATAACATTAGATGTGTCAGACACTGCCTCCCATGCCGGTGTCTCCCATGCCAGACACTGCCTCCCATGATTAGATAATTAAGCTACCTGTTCTCTGCAAGACCACCTACCCCCTTTCTTTATAGGGACACTTGGTTTGGTGGGAAACAGATGCTTAATCAGCTCTGGCAGGAGATTCTCACAGGGTATAGAATTTATAGCCACTATTCCCTGTCATTAAAGGAAAACCAGACCTGTGGACCTCATTTGAACTTAAATGCTACATCCATGCCCCTCCTCCATTCCTGTGGGCAAGTGGTTCAGCACGGCTTATCTTTGTATGATTAAACTGTCTGCACTCCCCAAAACAAAGAACATTCACTGCCTCCTGAGAACAGTCCCTGGCCTGTGCTGTCCCCCAGCTGTGCTCAGGCATTGTCTGGAACTGAGCTCAAAACTATGCCATGGAGAGTGAGTATCAGCAATTACACAGCATGGATGATCAAATGATAAAGCTGGTATCCTTGCCCTGCTTATTTCACTTGCACAGGCATA